GAAGGGAGGTCATGAAAGAGATAGAAGATACGATACGAGGTTTTAAGGTGAGTAAGGTAAAAGGTGAATAACGTACGGGATACTCAAATGCAGAAGGTTGTGAATAGTCTATACTTCAGATAGAAGGCTAGAAGTGCTGGGATTCAGTATCCAGGAATAATAGCAGCGTCGTCAGTGGCGCACCTTCCAGCCTATGGTTTCTAAGTACCGAGAGATCTAGTCAAGAGAGTGAAGAAGAGTTAGAGACGAGGTGATGTCTCACTTGATATTCCAGAATAACACAAGGAAATCTATGGTGTAAGCAAGTTGATGGAAGGCTACGAATAGTGTAAATAGATACGTATAGGTCGCAAGCTAAAGTATAGTAAAGCAACAAAGTTTTATGACAGGAGTAAGGATAAGAAAGGGTGAGTGAGAAGGTAACGATAATGGATAAGTCCTCGGGATTAAGCCCATGAAAACAAGAGAGCTAATGGTTTCTCTAAGTTATAGAAAGTTCAGCATAGCCTGAATGAACTCAAAGGAGTCTAAGACTAATAACATCTAGAGGAAATGGAATGTTGCCCTGGTAGTGGATGTGATTGTGATAGATAAAGGATGGCGTTTGGGCCTTCGATTGAGTAATGACTTGAAGAGGATTTCATGAATTTTACGGGATTAAAATACCAACGTAAGTGAATCACATTGGGATGCTATAAAATACGATTGTTGAAGTACAATATCGCCGCTAAGTGGATCAGGAAAATCACTTCGAATATTCCTCGATGCAACGTAAGCCCCTAGTGGCAAGGAATTACGTAAGAAGTTTCAAGTTATCAGTGGTATATTGTAGATCAATATTGAGGTGAATCAACAACGGATGGACAAAAGTCACAAAGTATGAGATGAGATTTTGTTGTCATTCTTAAGATGAGCAGTAACGAGGAAGCATTAAAGGACTTAAATTTATACATATGGGATAAGCAACGAGAGTAAGCTGGAATTCGGTATCATACCTTAGCAACGATAAATCAAAGTAAGAGTTATGGCAGTAAATTCATACGGATGGATAAATGGACCTATGAGATAAGATATAACAATATTGGTGAGCTCAATAAAGTACTGAGCGAAGAACTTCAATATACTCATAGATGCCCAGAGGGGCAACTTTTCAAGCTCTGTATATGTTTACAAAGTAAGGCCTAGAGATTGGCTAAAAACTAGAGAGAAAAAAGAGGAGCGAAGATTCGCATAAGCGCATTTACAAGGTCAAAGTCGTAGAGGCTGCATGATCGAAGGTAGCAACAGTTACGAGATTGGAAGGATTCTGACTATAAGTCGTGGTGTGAGAAAGAGGCCTAAAGGGGGGAATTCCCTGGCCTTTGGATTTATTCACAAAACAACTGCCTAAATGGCAAGGGGAGTATTAAGGTATTCACAAGAGCTATAAGTTATGAAAATGATAAGAGCATCAGTCAACATTCAAGGATGAATGTTCCAAAGGGGGGAATGATGTTACGCCCCGCAATATTACATCGATATTGCATCCCGCGGTATTATATCACGATGATGTTACGCCTTGCAGTATTACATTACAATGATGTTATGCTTCGCAGTATTAAATTACAATAATGTTGCACCCTGTAGTATTGTACGTTAAATTTGTCGTAAGGTAAATGACATCAGTCCAAGCAAAAGATTATTTGGAGATTATAAGGATTAAGCTATTTCAAATAAGTAATGAGTAAATTCGTGAAGGTGAGAGGGGAATCAAGTCAAAGAAAATGAATTTTCGTCCAAGTTTGACATGTTGGGATAAAATACGGCCAGAGCTAAAGTACTCGGTATTTATGGGCTAGTGCCATACAAGGTACCATATGACCATGATAGTAAGGTGTATAAGGTATGTGAAAGTGAGTAGTATTTTAAGTAATTTGAGGTAATTCTTAATTATGTGGGTGATTGGTTAATTATTGAATAATGGAATATTACCCAATTAATTAAGGAATTAATTATTGGATAATGGGATTCTTAATAATGGGATATTACTCATCAATTATATTGCATGAGGTGGCAGTCCCCCCTTGCAAATTGAAATGACTCATGTTATAACATGAAAGGTGGCAATCATTTAAGAAAGGATTGAAAATTTCTTCTTAACTCCAAGTTTTGCATTATTCACAAAATAGATGGAATTCATAAGAAAAGCCATAAAGGCTCTAACGTATTGCTTCAGTAACAACCTTGAAAGGTTGTGATCAAATTAACAAAGTGAGCATATGAAATTTTCTACAAAAATTTGTATGAGATTTCACAAAATAATATCAATGGGATTTTGAGATTCTAAAGGAATACGGTGCAATCTTTCTCAAGAATATCATATGGATTTTTTCCTACTCCGATCTTGCCGTCATGTGCTTGTCGAAATTAACGTGTGTTAGAGGAATTGTCAAGAGAATCGACTCGGGTATGTTAAGGCTATCCCTTCTTTCTTTTGGCATGATCCATATGATACGAACGAAAAGAGCAAATGCACAATTTCCATAAATGAATCTATTCATAGAAATATTAGAGATGCTTATCTTCTTGATTCCCCATGTGTCAAATTATTCTATCATCTTTTCATGGGTCTCAGAGAATACGTAAGTTGATAAAGTTTACTTTAAGGTATTATTCAAAGGCAAAATAGTCTTATGACACTCCGAAAGATTTTATTGACGTACTTCTCATACATTGCATTTATGTACATTGACCCATGACCTGATGGCGTTATATACGCGTATATATGTATATTATATGTATATGGGATATGGGAAAAGGTTACGGCGTTATATACGCACCACCACCTGATCAGCTGGTATACGTTGATGATTTGCCCATAGTGGCTGAGATGATATGATGGGATGCCCTCAAAGGCTTGATGATGTTATGAACGCATATACCCATGCATGGTATGACATTTATATGCATATGCATGACATTATAAAAATGAAATGATTCACAGAGCTATGCAAAAGTACATGTCGAGTCTTTTACTCTATGTTTCTCTCATTTCTATTATTTACTGATTTTCATTCCTTACATACTCGGTACATTATTTGTACTGCATCCCTTTTGTCTTGGGATGCTGCTTATCATTCTCGCAGGTCCCGATAGACAGTTCGAGAGCCCTCTAAGTAGGCTATCAGCTCAGCGGAATAGGTTGGTGCGCTCCATTTGCTTCGGAGTTGCTTGTTTGGTTAGTATGATTTAGATGTGTATTGTTTGGTATGGCGGAAATCTGTCCCGACCTTTATGAAAATTATGTATTCTTAGAGGCTTGTAGACAGAAGTCATGTACGTAAAATATTGTATGGCCTTGTCGGCCTATGTTCAGTGTACGAGTGGTTATTTTGTCCTTATAAGCCCGTATATCTTATGTATAAGTTGGTATCACATATTGTATTCTACTTATATCACAGCAGCCTTCCGGCTCAGTTATGTATGATAGTATGACATGAAAAGATGCGTTATGTTGGTACTCAGTTGAGTAAGGTACCGGGTGCCCGTCGCGGCCCATCGGTTTGGGTCGTGACACCTATTGTTTACCTCTTTCTGCCGTGCGATTGTTATTATGTTGCATGAGATTTCTGGCGTGCTATTGTTACTATGGATATATGCACATGCAGCGTGACAAGGCGGGCTATATATGTGGGTTTACGCATGTGGCAAGACAAGGTGGGAATGTTATTATGCATGTGCGGCGAGAGAAGGCGGGCATTTACTTTATTATAGCGCACGTGGTGAGACAAGGTGGGCTATGTTGGGAAATGATTTGTGGTGACTTGTGATGGCCTGTAGGCATTGTTATTGTTGTTATTTGTGTAGTGGTGTGCCTACCCTATGTGAGTTATACCATGTACATTTCATGGTGATGGTTCTTATGTGCCATTCATTGTCTCTACTCTTACTTGTTGACTTGAATTGTGGTAGAACACTTGCACAAGCATACACATAAATAAATCACCCATATCGGTTAAGAAGATGAATCCTGATATTATTGACCATTTACATGTACTCCCGTGTACTTGCCTTCTATGTGAGAGTTATCCTGTTGGCACGTGAGTGGTCCATGCGGATATTATATATTGTCACTCTCTTGGCACGTGAGTCATGCGTGCGGTTATGAATTTGTAATGTGGGCACAAGAGGCTAAATGATTAGGGTTCATGAATTGGGACCCATGATTTGTGATTATGAGGTTTGGTACCTCGTGGAAATTTCTGAATAGATCTGGCGTAAAAGCGGTTGTTCTTGTTGAGTTGTTACTTATTTTTCCTTTATTTGGTCTCATCGGACTTAGACTGTGTCCAGCTTACTCTACAGTATTTCTGTTTGCTTCTTGTTGCTAACTGTTGTTTCTAGTGTTTCATTGCGAGTATTGTTTTTTATTCCTTACCATGCTTAACTTTATATTAACATTGTTTCCCCATTAGTTCACCTTCATACTTGTTCAGGTTGTTTAGTCCAGTAGGTGTCCTAACTATCCCTCGTCACTACTCCACCGAGGTTAGTCTTGATACTTATTGGATACCACTGTGGTGTACACATGCTACACTTTCTGCACATTTTTGTGCAGATCCAGGTATTTCAGAGTTAGTTGATCAATAGCTAGCTGTTCGGGATTTGCTGTGGAGACTCAAGGTAAACCTGACGTCGCGTTCGCAGGCCTCGGAGTCACTTTCTGATATTGTACTTGTACTATTTTATTTCTATTCCGAAATAGTTGTATTTAGGAATTTTTCTAGCAAACTCACTAGAGCTTATGACTTGTACTGCCGATTTTGGGATTGTTGGATTGTATGGAAATTTCCATATCAAAATTCACTGTTATTGCTTAAATTTTGCTATTAATTCAGTAAATTTTAGGCTTACCTAGTCTTGGAGACTAGGTGCCGTCACGATATCATAAGGAGGGAAATTGGGGTCGTGACACTTAAGCAATCTGCACACTTGTGACTTCCCTTGTTGATGGGAGAAACCTTGAGGTAATGTCATGTACACTTCTTCCTCCAAATCTCCTTGCAAGAAAGCATTGTAAACACCATTTGATAGAGAGTCCAACCTTTGGTTGCTGCTATGGAGATTACAGACCTGACAGTAACCATTTTTACTACGGGTGAAAAAGTTTCTTGATAATTCAGTCCCTCCTTTTAACTATACCTTTTAGCCACTAATCGACCCTTATGTCTTTCAACTTCCTTATTGGATATGTACTTGATTTTCTACACCCATTTGCATCCAATTGCCTTCTTTCCTGGAGGCAACGACACAACCTCCCATGTCTTGTTGTCCTCCAATGCTTGTATCTCTGCCTTCATATCTTCAATCTATCTCACATCCTTAGCTGCCTTATGATAATAACTTGGTTCAATCTTAGAAGACAACTGAGTGATGTAGGCCTGATATGAAGCTGATAATCCTTTATACTGAATAAAATCACCAATAGGATACTTATAGTGAAATACAATGGAAGAATTGGGCTTTTGTTTTGGCCCAATGTATTCTTTAAGACAAATAGGAGGCTTAGTAGTTCTGTCTGACCTTCTCAATTCCCCAGTATCACTTGTGCGTCCTTCATGTCTCTCAACAATTACTTCTTCTGCAAGTGGCAGTATAGAAGTAGCTGGTGATGAATTAATGCTTCTGGGAACATGCTCAACAGTTGTAGGAGATGCAAATAGAACTAAGTTGTCCCTTTCTCTATCGCTGGAAGGCAGAACAATAGGAGACTGATCAGTAGGATAATTAAGCCTCTGAAACTCATTTATAGAAAAGGAAGAATCTTGAGTGAAACTTTGAAATGGATATGCATCTTCATGAAATAGCACATCTATGCTAATAAAGAGTGTCATGTGTTCAATGTCATACAATCTATATCCATTTTGTGTACTTGCATGCCCCAGAAACACTGACCTTATAGAACTAGGTTCAAATTTATCACCCCTTGGTAGATTAGCTGCAAAACATAGGCACCTATGAATCTCATATGTAACAATGAAGGCTGTCTCCCATATAGGACTTCAAAAGGTGATTTGTTTCCTAGAATGGTAGAAGGAACCCTGTTTATTATGTAAACAACTGCATCCACACAGTCACCCTAGAACCTCACCGGCAAGTGCCCCTGAAATCTAATAGCCCTTGCAGTTTCCAGAATTTGCCTGTGCCTCCTTTCCACTACTCCATTTTGTTGAGGAGTGTGCTCCTAAGTCATCATGATTGATGAAGGTGAGATCTGCTGGTTCTTTGAACTTCCAACCATATTAGCTCTTTCTGAGGCTTCAAATCTGCTGGATAGCCTATCAGTTTGTAGAAATTGGCTTTCAAATGTCCCTTATTATTACAGTAATCACATTTCATCAACTTATAACATTCTTCCTTCCTGTGGCCTTTCAAGTGACAGAAATCACATTCAATGTTGAAGTTTCTCCTTTGCTTTTGACCAAGTTTAGAACTAAATAATGTTGTAGGATCTATAGACTCTGCACAATAACTACCTCCTGCTACCAACTTTTGACTTTCATCCTGAAGGATCATAGCATAAGCTTGATTCACTATAGGAATTTTAGAATTCATTAAGGTTTGGCTACGTGCATGGCTATAACCATCATTTAATCCCATTAGGAATTTCCATAAACGTTGATACTCCTGACGTTCAGTGAATTTCTTCGATTTATCACAACAAACAGGAGGAGGCACAATCGAGTCATATTCATCCCACAAGTCTTTCAATTTCGAGTAATAAATTGAAACAGAGGATGTACCTTGTGTCAATGTAAAAATCTCCCTGTGTAGGTGATAAGTGGGAATTTTGACTACTTATTTGCACCCTTTTACTTTCGTTTTAGCTCAAAAATGCTTAAAGGTATTCTCGAAAACTGATAAAATGTGCTTTCTTGCAAGAGTATTGGATAGTGAGCCAACGAGATGAAATTCAACTTAAGAAGGAGTATTTTTGGACACGACTAAAACCAAGCAAAAAGTGGCAAAGTGCGGAACGCAGAATTTTGTCTGCGGCCGCAGAATGTGAAGAAATTTTGATAGTGCTACCTTGCAATGTGCGGCCGCAAAAGAGGAAGATCAAAGAGTTGTAACTTGAAGTCCATCGAGAAGTGCGGACCACACTATTATTGTGCGCCCGCAGAAGTCCAGGAAAACTTGGCTAACAAGAAATTGGGGTGAACTCAAGAAATTGATAGTCCCAATTAAAGGGCTGAGTCTAGAGATAGTAAAACCCGACTTTACCATCTATCAACTGTTTTGTGAATTACCCATTTGGGCTTGAGAAAGACAAATTGGGAAAAACCACTCTATTACCGAGAGGTATTGAGTGGGTAATTGTGTGTTGATTGCTATATTACGCCCCGACCAACGAAACTCGCTCTAAAGCCCACAACCCGTTAGGCAACCACCTAGGTGGAAGTCACAACCCTAGATCTTTTAGAAATTGAAAAACAACACCAAAAATATCATTCTTTAGTTTTATATTTGCAAACAATAGCTTAATTTAGAAGTGGACAAAAACAACAAAGTATGTGGAAGTGCATTTTGGACACATTATACGCTTAGTCCGAGTATATACCTAATCCTATCTACGCTCCCTGAGGAATCGATCCCGACTACTAGTTGGGTAAATATAATTGCATCGGCCGCTTCACACCCCAATTTGAGGTGTGAACTTGGGCGACATCAATTTTTGGCGCTGTTGCCGGGGAGCTAAAAACGGATTTAGCTATATATTTGAATTTGTGTGTGATTTGTCTTCCTTTCCTTCCAGGTTACTAATCTGTTTGTGAAACAATTGTAGGTGATACAATGGCTCTCAACAACAATGATCCTCTTGGAAATGTGCCATTGGGGATGATGACGGGGATGATGACCAAGTTGATGAGGTTCCTCTTGAACCTCAAGCAAATAGACGAGGCCACCCGCCTCAAGTCAATGTTCCTGTTCCTTCCCCAACTCCTCCAAGAGCGGTGGCACACCGGGTGTTGCCGAATGAAGTGTTTGCAAGTGCCATAGTCCAGCCCCGCATTAGTTCGGGAAACTTTCAAATCACAAATGTTATGCTTACACTGTTGGAACAACGGGGATTCTTCGCCAAGGCCCCGAATCAAAATGCATACAAGCACTTGAAAGGGTTTGTTGACACTTGCTAGAGGTGTAAACAGACAAACGTCTCCGAGGATGCTAAGATTGAGGCTATTCCCTTTCTCTCTACGGGGGAAAACCTTGGATTGGTTGGAGAGGTTGCCAAATCATTCTATCCATACATGGAATGAATTGGCCGAGAAATTCATTTCCAGGATGAGATTCTAGATTTCAAACAAGAACCCAATGAGCCTTTGCATGAGATATGAGAGAGGTACCGTACTATAGTGAAAGAGTGCCCGAACAATGACATGACGGAGGCTATGCTTCAACAAACTTTCTATACGGGGATCAATACTACCAATCAATGTGTGGTCAAACAACTCGCCGGTGGAAATTTCATGACAACGCCGTATGCGAAAGCTTGTGAAATTCTTGATGAAATGGCGGATACCTCATCGGTATGGCAAAGTAGAGAAAACGTTCCTCAAGGTGATCCAAATGTGATTCACTTGCATAAAGAATTACATGATCATGGGCAAGCAATTGCCGAGTTGACCACCGCAATGAATCAACTAGCCAAAGCTCAACTTCAACAAGTGCAAGGTCTCAAGCAAGTGAATGCGATGGAGGGAGTTAGTATGATGGTAAACAAGAGAAGGCAAAAGGGTCCTCAAGTGCAAAACCGGGTTGAAAATTATGTGCATGATGATAGTGGATTTGATCAAGATGAACAATATAATGAACAAGAAGAGGAGGTTCAATATGTGAACAACTTCCAAGGGCTAAGAAACAACAATCAAGGCCCGAACCAACAACAATGGCGACCACAAGGAAATCAAGGAAATTGGAATTCAAACAATCAAGGAAGTTGGAACAATCTAAACAACCAAGGGAATTGGAACAATCAAAGCAATCAAGGAAATTGGTATGGTCAAAATAACCAAGGCAATTGGAGTGGTAATAATCAAGACTATTGGGGAGGCAAAAACCAAGGAGGGTGGAACAACAACAACAATCGGGGTTCGGGTTTTCAAAGGCCCCCGATGTATCAACAACCGAGCAACCCATCGCCCTTTCCTTCCCAAGGTCCGAGTTCTTCCAATAATGAGATGTGCCGAATTGAGAACATGTTTAAACAAATGATGGAGAAGAATGCCAACTCTGATGCTCAATTAGCCTCTCACAACACTTCAATTCGTAATTTGGAAGTTCAATTGGGGCAAATCTCGCAAGCTTTGAACACTAATCCTAAGGGGTGCTACCAAGTGATACAGTGGTGAACGCAAAGGGTGGGAACAACACGAAAAGGTGGGGAAGCAACCATCTCAAGTCATAAGAAACTTATAGATGATGAGCAAATGGTACAACTAGATGATATCCCGGAAAATGAAGTGCAAGCAAGTGATGAGGTGAGAATTGATATTGATGACAATGTGGAGGAGACTCGTGAGGAAGTGAACCCATCTAGGGAACACATTATTGACATACCGGAACCGGTAGTGCCAAAGGCAAAGGAACCAAAGCCAAGGCCTCCTCCTCCATATCCTCAAAGGCTTGCCAAGCAAAATGATGAGAACCAATTCAAAAAGTTCATTGATATGATGAAGAGTTTGTCTATTAACGTGCCATTGGTTGCTAGGATATGCAAAGTTCATGAAGGACTTGGTGACAAAGAAGAGGTCGATGAATTGTGTGACTATAAAGATGACACATCAAGTGAGTGCAATTGTGCATTCAATGGCTCCTAAATTGGAAGATCCGGGCACTTTCACAATCCATGTACAATTGGAAGTGCCGACTTTAAATCTTTATGTGATCTTGGGGCGAGTATCAACTGGATGCCATATTCGGTGTTCAAAACTTTGGGAATTGGGCAACCAAGACCCACATCCATGAGGCTACAAATGGCGGATCATACTATGAAGAGACCATTGGGTATTATTAATGATGTGTTGGTTCGTGTTGATAAGTTCATCCTCCCGGCGGACTTTGTGATTCTTGATTGCGAAGTGGACTATGAGGTAACTATTATCTTGGGTAGACCTTGCTACGGGGAAGACTCTTTTTGATCTGGAAGCCGGTGAGCTCACATTCCGGGTGGGTGATGAAAAGGTGGTCTTCCATGTGTGCAAATCTATGAGGCAACCGAATAGCAATGAAGTTTGTTCGTTCGTGGACTTGGTGACCGATGTGATTATTGATGATGGTAGTGCCACAATGAATATTG